TAATCAGCTCAGCCTGAGGTAAATCTTTAACAGCTGACAGAGCTGATTTCAGGTGTGCCAGACTGCTGCAGACAGGCATGCAGAGACTGATCCACAACAGCACAAGGTTAGCAATGAGAGACAGACGCTCACCTGCAGCAGATGCCTATCATTCTGAGACTGTCGTGCTGGTTTTTCAGGGCCCGGTTGACTGACAGAGGGGCCCCTGGGAAATGTGACAGCAGATTTTGATCAGCCCAAGATGCTTTCTTTAACACCCGCTGGCTGAAACTCTTCAGCCAATAATGAGTGATCAAAAAAAAAAAAAAAAAGGTCTACGTAAAAAATATAATGCCATCAAATGTGAGACCGTCAAATGGCACTTTTCTACCATTAAAGGTCACTGCCGTAAGGGGACAATACTCATAAGGTCATTCTAAGCACTTCAAAAAGGCTTCTTTCTTATAAATGTAAAGATGGTAGTATTTTGAAGGGATAGTTCACCCAAAATTAAAAATTCTGTCGTTATTTACTCACCCTTGACTTGTTCCAAACCAGTTTTTTTCTTTTCTTTTTTATTTCACAGAAAATAATTAGAAGAATGTTGAAAACTGGTAACCATTGACTTGTTTAGTAGTTCACCACATTCTTCAAATATATACATATATACAGTTGAAGTTGTACAATTATTAGTGATTTATATATATATATATATATATATATATATATATATATATATATATATATATATATATATATATATATATATATTTCTTAAATTATCCAAAATCAAACAAAAAGTGATCAGAGGCAGCTTAAATAATATGTACTCTTTGGGTAAGGGATTCATCAGAATAAATTAAATGTGCAGGCACAGTTTTAAGCAATAGCCATGTCAATGAAGAGTTTTTAATATATTTTTTTCACATATGTTTCGAATACCTTGGACTGATTTTTGCTGTTTATTTCCTAAGTGATGTTTAACAGAACAAATAATTTTTTTTATTTCATATAATATTTTTTTTTCTTCTGGAGAAAGTCTTTAATTTTTTTTCTTATTTGTTTTATTTTGTTATATTTTATACATTTATAAAAGTGTTGGAAAAAATCTTCTTCTCATTAAACAGAAATTGGGGAAAATATCCATGGGGGCTAATAATTGAGGAGGGCTAATAAGTCTGACTTCAACTGTATATATAAAAAACCGTTTTGCAACAAGTCATTGGTAAAATTATCACGTATATATTTATTTACTTTATAACTCAATAGCATCCATCCACCCCATGATTATTAGAATAAAATATTCATCTTTGCAATATTTTAAAGATTACTGCATCATATTAGAGATATGAATTTAAAGCCTTTTAGACAGGGGGTGTCAAACTCAAAATGGCGGGGAGCCATATCAGTGACTGACCATTCATAGGAGGGCCGTTTAAACAAAAAGGTGGAAAACTGATACAATTGATGCAATCAGACATACTGTCCCAGAGTATCAAAGCTCCTTCTTTTTATTTGCTTAATGTAGCCTACATATTGAAGGGGTAGTATAAATAAAATGCTACAATTTAGGGCAAAACAGTGGCGTAGTAGTTTGTGTTGTCGCCTCACAGCAAGAAGATCGCTGGTTCGAGTCTCGGCTGGGTCAGTTGGCGTTTTTGCTTGTTCTCTCTTCGTTCGCGTGAGGTATCCTTCGGGTGCTCCGCTTCCCTCACAGTCCAAAGACAAGCGGTAAAGGTGAATTTTAAGTAAGCTAAATTGTTCGTAGTGTATGAATGTGAATGGATGTTTCTCAGAGATGGGTTGCAGCAGGAAGGGCATCCACTGCCTAAAAACATGCTGGATAAGTTGGCGGTTCATTCCGTTGTGGCAATCCCAGATTAATAAAGGGACTAAGCTGAAAAGAAAAAGAATAAATGAATGATACTACAAGTTAATAAAAGGCATAATAATAATTATTATTATCATGTCCCAATCAATTGTTGCTTAAGCAAAAGTTTAACAGAGTGCGTAAGACAGCAGAATGCAGTTTGGGTAACTTTATTGACTTTACTGGCAATTGTTCTTCTCAATATTATAATTTTTTTTGTAAAACACAGAGGGGAAAAGTTTGTAGGCTATATATTCACATTTTGTTTAACATGTTCAATTTAGCCAGCAGTAAAATTTCACTGATGCACATTTTTTTATACAATTATTAGTATGCATATGAGAAAAATCCATTAATGAGGTCATTTAAATCGAATATTAGCAAAATTGTCATATTTACACCAGCATAACACGTTAGCCATAAAGAGGTGTTTGTACCACAAAATACAGGTGGTAAAAAACTCATTATAATCAAATGACCCTTGAACCTATGGACATTTTAAGAGTTCACACTTAGCTGATGATTGATTCTAAAGCTTGTTTGGCATGCTGTCCCGGGCGAGAGCCCTGAGCGCATAAGATCCTCCAGCCCAGGGCTCCCTCCCATTTGCAAGGCGAGAGGGGTAAACTGGGTCACCGTGTCACCCAACTAGGAAAGGAGGTGGAGTAGGGGTGGAAGGGAGGATTCTTGAAAACGAAAATGGCTGTGATATGAAATTTAGGGCATTTTTAGTGGCTTAGGAATCATTTGATTGGTGGTTCATAAATTGGATAATGTGGGACCAGCCGCAAGCAATCATAAGCACGTAATCCTCTCAAAATTAGTTTATAAATAAACTTAACATATTATAATGTTTAAATCAGCCATAGAAATAATCTGCATGTGCTCCCGACCGCACACTGAGAGAAACCGAAAGTAACCCGAATATATAGTACTGCACCTTAAATGTCCAGTAGGTGGGGGGTTCAAGCCACAAGTGTATGCGACTGCAAAACAATAATAGCGATTTAAAAATGTAATGTTTTCGGGCCAAATCTCGTTATAATTTTGACATCAGTTGGGGTTAAAAAAGTGGAGAAGGGGGGCCGCAAATAGCCCACGGGCCGGCAGTTAGCGAACCCTGCTTTAAATAATGAAATGTGATGGAAACTTTGGTGAAAATTTTACCCTACAAACTCATTTATACAGTATGCTTTCAGTCATGTGTTTGATAATTCATGTTTGGCAATTCCGGCTGTGAATTCATGGTCATGATCATTTTCTTATTTATCAATTTTGAACATCTGACTACACAGAAGTGTCTGCATAGGTGAAACAAAAACATAGACCTAATGGGTTTAGCTACTTCCTAGCTAGCAAATTTCTTGTGGCTCAAATCAGTCCCACATCAGACACTTAAATTCGGCCCACATACCACATGGAATCTGGACCACAATTAAGCCATAGCAATATCACAAATCAGCCAGAAATCAACCAAATGAACCAGAACTGACCCTATTCTGGGCCCCAGTTTGCTTTTATTCTGGCCTTGATCGGGCCCACACCAGACACATACATCTGGACCACAAACTGAATGGAATGACGGCTCTTGGGCGATCCGATCCTGTTTGTCAGATCTAGGCCACAAATAAGCCAAAGCAATGCCACATATCATATACCTTTAAATTCAATCAAATTAACCAGAACTGGCCCCATTCTGGGCCACAGTTTGCTTTTATTCTGGCCCAGATCTGGCCTACACCTTACACTTGCCTTTTTTTTTTTTTTACTGGCTTTTTTGTTGTAATAAATAAACTTTTCAAGCAAAGTTCTTAAAAGTTACAGCAGCCAAAATGAAAATTTATATTAGGAGGTTCAAAGCTATGAGCCCAACTAAAGCAAACACTTATGTTTTTAGATAAATGGACCACATTTGCCATATCTGCTCTGGATGACTATATAACGGTTGCATTAGCCAGAGTTTACTGTGCCGAATATTCGAATAAAGTAGCCCACATATGTTTTAAGATAACTAGGCCACATTTGCCATATTTTCTCTGGGGCACATTAGGCTCACAGCCACAATAGCCAGAGGTTACTGTGCCAAATATTAGCCAAAGGTGGCCCACATATGTCTTAAGATAACTAGGCCTCATTTGCACTTACACTTGTGAGCCACTTTAGGTTTAGACCCAGATTACCCTTAAATGACTATGCCACATTTTTGCCAACTGTGGCCCAAATTTATCCTCCATCATTTGGGCCAAATTTATTGTTTTTAACGAGGTTCACATTAGGCTCACATTCAGATTACACTTTACCATAAGTGGCAAATCTTTGCCTTAAATGGTCCATATATGAATTTGTATCTTTGGCCACCCTTTGCCATTGGACAGGTGTGCCACTTCAGGCTCACATTCATTTTATCTGGGCTAAAGGAATACCACCAGTGCCGCATAACTGCCTAAAGTTGCCCACATTTGCATGCTACCTAAGTTGAAATCAGTAGAAAATCAGTGGTCACAATAGCTGATAAATAATTAAGATGTCTCATGTCCTGATGACACACAAGTCTGACTAAAGAAATAAACAACCTGAAGGGCATATCATAGATGGAGGACGTCACCAAATCTTCATTTCACAGTGTTTACTTTGGAAATATCTTTTTAATGAATACATCGTAGACCTCCGCTGGCCTCAATTCCTCTCCAGCGATAGGTTCAGATTGCGGCAGCGAGACTCTATGGGTGATTTTAGGTGAAGGCCACAGAGATTTGCATGCAGAGCTAGTAAGTAGACTAGATGACGTATAAGGCATCACGATCTGCCCGGGGGGTTTGCTGCAGAAGCGCCTCTTGAACCTTCATGCCCATCTAACATTTTTAAAAAGAACTTGGGTCATTGCCCTCTTGCCGCAGACTTTATTTCTAAACCTTCTGCCCTATCGTTGATGCTCTTTGCCTTTAGACAGAAGTGCTCCTGGAATAGACCACTTAGAAGTGTTCAGAGGCAGATGTCAAGTTCATTAGTGCCTGTTTTTTGGCGCAAACCATCCTGCCACTCAAGCAGACTGGCCTTATAAAATTGAGACACTTGGGGATCGCTTATGGAGAGTTTTCTGTGTGCGCTGAAGCTAATCGCTATTTCTGACTTTGTTCTTTTCTTTTGGCAGCGCAGTCCAAGTGCCAACATGAGAGGTGAGAGGTGCTGGACGAGACTCTGAGAGACGCCGTGTGGCTGGGAATGTGTGGCGCATAAAAAATACAGGTCCCCACAAGAGCTTTCTGGTCTCAGCCGGTGCCATAAATCGATAGCTGAGAACTCGGGTTTCTTCATCAAGATATTTCTACTGGGGTACAAACAGAATGATATTCTTGAGCACTTGCTGACCAGAATCTGCACTCCAGAGGATACTATTTTTGTGGATGTCTGAAGTCTTTTTCGCACTGCGGCTCTGAAAAACATTGGCAGACTAAAAGAATATATTTATATATAGCTGATAATACTGATAAGTCTTTCAGCTGCCTGTCAAGGATCCTTTTTTTAACGCTTACGCTGACACTTTTGGCACTTCAGAGACTATTCCTATCAGCTTTGGTCTGTCTAAATCATAGCTATTTTTATTCCTCCACATATTTAGATGAAAAGTCTCCCACTACAGAACCATTTGTGTCTACTTGTCTGAATGGTTGAGAGCAGAAGGGAGGTTCACGCTTAACATTTTCCCATTTTCACAACCTGTCTACAGTCTGGTGCTAATCATGGTTTTTCATCACCAGAACTGACTTCCATCTTTTTTTCATGCAAAGTGAAACACATTAGCATATTTATGGGCTGAGATATATCAAATTGTGTACAGTGTGCTACATGGATCCCGCGTTCAGTCATCAAACGAAGGAACAAATATCTTGCGACGTGAAGAAAATGGAATATTCAAGAGCTCTGCGCACTTAAAGACGTGACATAAGGCAGAACCTAGGATGTGATGGAGAACATGAGTTAAATTCCCTTCTTTATGCTTGAATCTGTGTGTAATTAGCCAAAATATATTTATTTGTGTTACTGTTTTTATATTAATGACGCATTCATAAGAACACTATTATTGGCCAGATCAGCCAAGAAGCATCAGTTGATGTCAAATCTCACAAGATGGAGAATTTGGATGAACTAGAACATCCATTGTTGGCTGACAGCCCTAAAAACTCAAGTGAAACAGGCACCAATAGCGGTGGACTGTTAAAAGGCATATTGGTGAGAAACGAGGAGGATAAAAGACTGCCCCCGCTGGACTGGAGGAATTATTGCAGTTCTACAGATATTCAACAGCAGCAGCTACTGGATCCATGTTCGCTGCCCAGCACACTAGAGAGTTTTTATCCTCCTACAACCATCTGGGCCGCTGCTGACTCTCTAGGCATCCACAGTAAGGAGTATCTGGAAACCACTTTTGTGGACATTGGCCCTGGTTCACCACTGGAAAGGAAATTACTGGCAGAGACGAGAGATGTCCATAGTGTATCCTACAGCATAGATGATGGGGATGACCTCTTGCCAGATTTTGAGGTAAGGATTTTTATCCAGAATGAAATACATGTTTTTTATCAGTTATTTTGGTAGTATTTACCCTGAGTACTTATTTAAAAAAGGGTTTTAACCTGCATATTTGAGCAAATAATATTTTCATCATAATGAAACACACTGCAAAAAAGTATTTTTCAGACAAGCAAAAATTATTGTTTTGTTTTAAAAGTAAAAGCCAGATTTATGTGGGGTTTTACCTTGAAACATGCAAAATGACTTGCCAGTGGGGGAGCAAATTATTTTTGTTTTTGGTTTGAGATAAGATTATTTTACTTACCCCACTGGTAGATTATTTTTGCTCGATTTAAGCAAAAATCCTTGACTAAAAACAAAATAATACATTATACTTGAAAATACTTCTTAATGGGGATGTACAGTATTGATTCATCTGACTCACGATGTGATACGATTCACGATACTAATGTCATGAAACAAGATTTTGTCACAATTTTTAACAAAATTATTTGAGAAGAAATTAAGGTAAATAAGCGTCTCTTCATTTTTTCTCCAATGCTGCAGTTTTTTGTTTTATTTTTTGCACATTTTTTTACAAAATAAAATATTTTCTGCAGGAACTACATTGCAATTTTAAAACAAAATACAAAAAAAAGGGAATAAATTCAAACTAAATAAGACTATTTAATATAAACAAACTAAAACTGACTGTGCAGCTAAATTAAAAATTTAAAACAAATTCCAAATCAAAAATGAACAATACAAATTAAAGAAGGCTCTTTAATACAAACAAACTTAAACTGTGACTGTGCAGGGATTTGACTTTTTTTTAAATATCAGAATATCTGGCATTTTTCTAACATAATCTGAGATCTTTGCACAATCACAATGTCTCCTGATGCTGAAAAAACTCTTTCTTTGAGGACTGATATGGCTGTTATGGAAAGGAAAACCTTTTCTAAACCAGAGAGCAGTGTGTACAGAGGTGGCCAACAGTCCCCTCTGCTCCTGGGGACTGGCCACTAGCATACAATTCTGATTATTCTATATGATATTATAAGAAAATTACTAAAAGATGCATAAACTACATTTAAAAAGAGAGGGGGGAAGGAACAATCTAATATCTGGTTCTGTAACAGTTTTTTCTTTCAATCTGAAAAACATGTTCACATTTTCGCTCTAAAAACACTGATGCACCATGTGATCTTGAACATTGGCACTCGTCAGAGCAAGCAGAGGTGCCAATGCTCCGGTCCGCGAGGTTTGGCCCATTAATAGCTATAGATATCTGTGACAGTAGTTTTTTTACTGTACTGCATCATATTTATTGTTCTGTAAGTGTAAGTTAACGTCTTTTAAACAGTATTTGTACAGTTTATTTCAGTATTTGTGCTGTCATTTCAGTCTGCCGCCCAACCTCTTGCTCGCCATTCATTCAACATTTCTGCCAGTTTGAATCATTACATATTTTAATAGATTTTTAACCAGCTCACAGTAAATCATTACATCCCTACTTCTTGATTTAGGAATTGTTTGTGTTTCATCAATTAAAAGACGCACCCCCACCCCCCACCCCATTGACGAGAATGCACTTGAAAATGCATCACTTTGAAAAAAAGAGGTTTTGTAAAAAAAAAGCAGACACTCGGTTCTATATTTAGAGATATAGTATGCTCATATTCTATACACTTAAAGAAAAATATATTCTGAGCACTTGTCAAATTTGTTGGTGGCTTGCAGCTTAAAAAACACTAGCAGAGATAGAGCTCAAAATAGAGTATTCTACAATAAAGTAACGTTTAACAAAATTATTCACATCCTTTTCTCACATACATTGAACAAAAAGTCATGGCAATATATGTTTTTATGTTACTTATATATATTTTAAATAAGTGTTTTCCTTTATTGATAACAAATAGCATCAAGTTATACAACATTCATTTTTTAAATTATGAATTCATGAAAGGCAGTGGCGCAGTAGGTAGTGCTGTCGCCTCACAGCAAGAAGGTCGCTGGGTCACTGGTTCGCTGGTTCGAACCTCGGCTCAGTTGGCGTTTTTGTGTGGAGTTTGCATGTTCTCCCTGCCTTCGCGTGGGTTTCCTCCGGGTGCTCCGGTTTCTCCCACAGTCCAAAGACATGCGGTACAGGTGAATTGGGTAGGCTAAATTGTCCGTAGTATATGAGTGTGTGTGTGAATGTGTGTGTGTGGATGTTTCCCAGAGATGGGTTGCGGCTGGAATCCGCTGCATAAAAACTTGCTGGATAAGTTGGCGGTTCATTCTGCTGTGGCAACCCCGGATTAATAAAGGAACTAAGCCGACAAGAAAATGAGTGAATAAATGAATGAATTCATAAAACATGTTTTTGATTGATTCAATATGATTAATTTGGACCCAACTAGGTCCAAAAATAGTAATATAATTTTGTAATTAGTCTTTTCACTGCTTATTGCTAGATTAGTGGTAGAGTGTGAAACAGATGAAGAAAAGTTATGAGGGCCTACTCAAATTTATGGTTTTAGGTATCAGGATATTATAAAAAAGTATTCATTATTTTAAAACCACATCAGATATTTTATTGTGCTGATTATAAACAATTTGGAATTGCATAGGGTGATGTAACTTAGTCACATGAATGAACCACTATTTCTTGTTATTTGTTTCATTATGTCACATAAAAAGAGTTAAATTAATTAAAAAGAGTTTTTTAAGTATAATTAATAATTTAATAGAAACTGGAAAAATGTCTGTTGTTACTAATCAATAACAATAACACTGTTTTTACTGTAATTTTAGTCAAATAAATAGAGCAGTCGTGTGCAGATAACTGTACAACCCCAAAACATTTGAAAATATGTGTACCAAACGTTTTTATCCAGTAGATTTCCACTCAATTTGTTTTTGTAAAAATGCCACCAGCGGTGACTGTTTGTTTCATTTTCTCTTTTCTTTTCCGTCATCCTTGTTGTTATATTTGAACCCTGAAAGCAGAGAGAACTGAGTTAGTGCCAAGTCGCTCTCTGTTTACTGGCAACGCAGTTGTTCATTCACAGTCCGAAATCCTCATAGCTTCCCACACTGGAAAAATAAAAAATCACCTAGCCATTAAGTCCAGCATTTCCTCTAATGCTCTGTATATTGCATGGAATTCAAATGCAGGACCGTCAGCGATAGGTGAATAAGCTTTTAAATTGAAAAATCAAAAGGCATGAATAGCAAGAGGATGTGGAGCCCAGGACGCTGGCCTTCAAACCCAGCATGATTATTGAAAGCTCTGTGTCCACTGGTGTGTGAATAATAATGCCACTATGCTGATGAGCTCCATGCCAACTTCCATTTCATACACCAGCAAACAAGATCTAGCTCAGGAAAAAAAGATTCAGATTACAGATTCAGCTTACCCTCTAATCATTTTGATCGATGGCTTTAAAAAAAAGGGTGGTTCTTTATACCCGTGACAGCCAAGAATGCTTCAACGTATCTGAGCATTTGTGTCTGTCAAAAAGTCTGACACGATTTATTTGTGCCACCACATGCAGCTCAAAAAATAAATAAATAAATAAATAAAACACTTAGCATTCTGCACCAGAACACAAAAGCATTCCCCTGAAAAACAAATAAGCGAATGGATTTTACAGCATACTGTTGTGCATGGTGTACATGTACACTATGTATGTGTAATAGGAAACAAAATGAATGATATGGGTAAGAGCCTGGTAATGTTACATTTACCATGTAACCATATAAAACAAGGCAGGAAAAAATACACTTTAATATTCAGCTTGCAATCATTTGGTTTTAAATTTATCATGTACTGTATGCACCATCTCATCAGGAAGTTCATAAATGTAATTATTTTATATATTGTTAGAAATGTATGTTCACATTCATTTAAACGTAAGGAGGCATGGCCCCAAACCCCAACCCTAAACCCAACCATCATTGAGAGATAAGCTAATCAACTAAAATATATGTAAGGATATCCTGGACAATTTTCAAATGCAACTTCATATAGGATTACAATTGCATTTTTAAATGTGGACGCATAAATTGTGACATAATCCAATTGCAATTGCAAATTCTGCATTAGCGTTTGCATTTCCACTTTCATGAATGTGCAGTGACTGCCACATTTCAAATACAAAAGAGAAGTCCATTTGCCATTTTCTGTCTTTCATTTATTTTGAAATTGTTCTTATGTTGTACAATTTTGGAAACAAACAACAAGTGACTTGAGTGACGTCACTTTCAAATACAAACACGCCCAATAAAGTAGATCTCACCTCTTTCTTTGATTTACAGGTTGCAGTGTAAACATCGGAAATTCAAATGCCAAAAAGGCAAGGGAAATGTATTTGCAAATTGACTTTGCATTTCATTTGAAATGTGGCAGTGACTGCACGTTCACGATAGCGGAAATGCAAGAATTTTTTATATTGCAGAATTTGCAGTTGCATTTGAATTATGTCACAATTTGTGCGTCCACATATTGAAAATGTAATTGCAATTATAGGGCTTGCAGTTACATTTGAAAATTGCCTGGGATATCCTTCCATAAACATTTATAAATAAAATTGTACATATTCATATGAAGCAGCCACTAAAACAAAAAGTTACAAAATTCTGTAAGCAAGTTCTAGAATTTTTAGAGTCTTGCATTTAATGTGTTATATATATATATATATATATATATATATATATATATATATATATATATATATATATATATATATATATGTCTGTGTGTAAATACATGTATATATAGTTGGTCAAAATTATTAGCCTAGGAAATCAGATTGTTTTGCCCGTATTTGCCATAATGACAGTGAATAATATTTTTCTAATAATTTTGCATAGTAATTTCTAGTAGTATACAGATTAAAGAGCATTTTTAATGCTTAACTAGGGCAATTATTTATGTAGCAAGTTCAGTTAATTAGGCTAGACATAGTATAATGGTGGTTTGTAGTCAATCAAAAAAAAATCTTAAGGAGGCTAATAATGTTGTCTTTAAAATAAAATTAAAT